CAGAAATTCGAATGAGGCTGAATGAACGCACGTTGACATTCTGAAAAATTATCAAAAATTTTAGTGATGTTTGAACAATATTTGTGCGGCGCGCAGGAGCTGCAGCTGAAATTGCTTCTATATCCATATCTCGACATCGAGGACATACGCCTTATGTCAACGTTATGACTGCAAGTACCTATATAAATACAAGGAGGATGCACCAGCCCAACACTTCTATTTACGGGTCTCTAATTTGTAACTATCGTCTCATTGATAAATTCCTAGTATTCCATGTATGATGAGAGTCCTACCACTCGTTCTACTTGTGGCTGCATTTGTGAGTACTGACCCTGACATTTTTGATGCGGAAATATCATCTGTAAAAGCAATGCTCAAAGACCGCATGAATGGAAATAAGAAAAGCAAGGTGGAACAGCTTGTTTGCCGCATTGAAGAGGTATGAAGCCCCTTCAAAGGTATTGGAGATAACTTCACTACCCATAGGAATTTCAAAATATGCGCGAACTCCGGAAAAAACTGAGCGGATGCAAGGACGCATCAGAAATGGTCGCTTCTAAGTCGAGAACAAGAGGAGTTTCTAGAAAGACTGAAGGTTGGTGAATTCGATGGGTAACATTGATCGCAGAAGTGCTTTGAACATTTCAGCCCTTCAAAAGGAAAATTCATGTCAAATTCGCCCCGAATGGAAAAATCAATTGAGCGAGTCAACATGAAAAGTGGTATAGTAAACGCGCTGTTCCAGGGAGATATGGTTCTTTCCAAGTTTGTTTTCCCACCTACAAGCTAAACAAGCTGCAGCGAAAGTTTAAATCTTGTTAGGGAACAACAAGGACGAAGTTATTGCGGATATTGGCGTAGCCGTTCCAAGCGGCAAGCTTACAACGATAAAACTACCCTGGCATGAGATGGTCAAAAGGCGTATTCTATTCACTCGACGGCAGCTTGAGTTAGTCGTCCTCTCTTGTCCACATTTCAGATTAATCAATGAAATTTTCTCAATATGTTCAGATGAAACGGCAAAAATTGTCTTCAGGAAAGCAGCGGAGTTGTGGATGAAAGACACATGCATTAACATCACAGAAGACCCAAATGAAGAAGGTAAAACTCGGAGGATTCAAAAAATAAAGCTTCTTTGGACTTCAACATTCCAGCTGACGACCTTCTTCTTGTGTTCAAAGAGCACGGATGTTGGGCAGAAGTTGGCAGACAAGAAGGATGGCAGTTACTTTCACTGGGCAAAGACTGTGACACTGTAGTGTTTGAAGTTATTTCCACTTCGTACAAAGCCAGGGTGTGCTAAACCGTAACTGGAAAGGAACACCATAGTTTTTCGTACAATGAAATGCTAATGAAGTTTTTCTTTCCTTCAGGTTGGAATGGCGGTTCACGAGATTGGTCATGCCCTAGGATTCTGGCATACGCACTCGAGACATGACCGTGATGAATTTATCACAGTACTCAAAGGAAACATCCAGGTAAGATTTTTAGTCGCTATAAAAGAAATGTAATACTGCATTGGATTCAGCCTAGCCAAGTTCGCCATTTGTGAAGAAGATCGAAAAAAATTAATGACAACTACAATTTAACATATGACTACGGTAGCGTGATGCATTACGCCGCCACAAGGTATGCCATGCATGTGTGTCGATGTCTCAAAACTGAAGAACAAATTCATTATAGTTACCACCGCATGAAGCCCTAACTGAGGGGAAAACTCGCTACTTCTACCACATATAAATAATGGAGACTTTAGGATCCAAATTCATCTCATTCTATGACCTGCTTATGATGAATATGTACTACAACTGTACTGGTGAGCGAACCAAGCGTTCACGCCCTGCGTTCTTGTGAGCAAATGTTTCAGATGTATGCAAACTAACTTGAAGCGAAGAAAAGTGGCAAAATATGATTTCTCATTACCACGTATGCTCTCAGCTGCATCTGCCCAGAGCGGATACTGGTGGACAGTTTGTAGGAGGTGACCTTTTCTTTCCGTTACTTATTCGACACATTTATTCAACAACAACTTTAGCGCCACCCAGTTGCTGGTTGCGACACTCAGTCGACTGATCAAATGGCAATCGTTGTCGACACACTCAAGGCAGCGTAGCCGTCGAGATGGTCTTCGGAATGCAATACTGATCAAGGTTTGGGCTTTCCTGAAAAGGCATTCTATAGTCAAGAAATTGAAGGCTTAAGGCCCACTCAACTACAACGATAGAAATAAAGTCAATGGCGGTGCCGAATATCCCGTCGCAGGACTGCCCAAGCTTGGCGTTGAAATCAAGACACCAGTCCTGATCAACGTAGCAACCGCTACGGTACAGGATTACATTCTCCACGTGAACAAATGATCAAATGTGACATTGAAATGTTTGTAGGTTCTTGTCCACCAGAATTCCACAAACACTTCATATCGGAACTCGCGCTGGTCCAGTGGAATAACATATATGAGCTCATCGAAGACGGGACGCCCCGCAGACGAAAACAGTAGACGAAAGGGCAAGACTCTGTAAAATGGCAGCACAAACATAACGACTCCATGATGATAGGCATGGTGAACGGCGACTATGATGACGAGACCGAAGATGAAAGTGAAAATCGACTATGAAGACGACGAATTCTCCTTTACTCGCACGAAGCTGGAGTACCGCTATGTCTAGACAAAAATAAAGTCGAGGATGCTTTTCAATTTCCGAATTCAGGGACGAGCAATCTTAAAGGAAGCGAACTACAAGGATCTCTCAAAGGGGTTTAGAGGGGACGTGAGGGTCTCAATAGTACGCCAATGGCGAAAAAAGCAAAGAAATCCGTCAAAAATAAGCAAAATAGTACCCCTTTGATTGCCCTTTCATTTTCGACCATGGATGAGCGACGGTAAAGAATGACGTTGTTCGGACGTGTTAACCCCGATAGCCGCCATCATGCCAACAAGCATAGTGTTTTGATTGATAAGGCATTACATGGCAAGTTGGAAGATACAGCCGATAAAAGGGAAACGATCTCCCAAAATGAAAAGCCAACAGCAGACAGCTCGCCCAAGTCATCATCTGAACAAGTGGGCGTAACGCTGCTGGAGGCGGAGTGCTGCGGAGGTCCTGCTCAGCAACCACAGCACCTTTCGCCGTGGAAGCGCCACACACATCGCTTCCTTGGCAGCCAAGTAATTGCTCCGTGTGGCGCAGGTTCTCCCCCGATGCGAAAATTCCTTATCGTAATCGCTTCCTAACTCCGGTTAATGTGTCGTGAATAGCTTAGATTACAAATACACCGACTTGTGCTGACGAGGTTCTGAGCGTTTACCTAACACTTAACTCTACGTAGCCCGTAGCATCGTTGAGGTCGACAAACCCATTTTAGTGGACCCCAGACGATATGATCTGATTCCCGCAGTGAAGGGCATAGAATAGGAAGACACAAGGAGTTGTGTGGGCGCAATGATACTGACACCTGTACAATGCATTTTGGGGATCTTTCACTGAAGGTCCTACGTATCCGAAGAGTAACATCTTATCTACGCTCCTTATATTCCGTTACCTTATCATTTCCTTATCTCTGACCGCCACTAAGTAGGAGTTAATGTCAACAAAAATTAGTCGAACCTCACAAGTTAGAGTTGCACCCGATGAAAACAGAGTAAAAAGCTTAGAAATCTAGCTCTGTAAATGCGCTAGGCCCCGCACCATGGCGGCCCCAGCAGCACCCCGCTCCCTCCGGTCTCCTGCGGTGTGTTCAACCGGCAGATGTTTAGCGCTACATGGTGCCAGCGTGTGATGTCGCCTGTACGGTCGGAACATTCGAAGGGTTTCAGAGCATTACCGCTTTATCACGCATTATCAGCGATCTTTGATTTGAACAGGTTGTCGTGGGCAATGCATTCTGCCAATAAAACATTCCTGAAATTCCGTCTATACGCAGATGCAAGCCTCTGACCTCCATCGTTTTCAGGACGAGATGTCATGTGGCATCACCCTCAAGCTCAAGGCATACCATAATCGTTCCTACCTGAAGCTGCAGCAAAATTTCTTAAAGCTACGAGTCAGGATTAGGCAACCAGCAGAAGTTCTTCCCAGGGTGCGATGGTGGGCTCCCCAAGCACTGAGGGCGCGACACTGTCGCGACTCAAAAGCGGCGCTAAGCCTGCATTGTGTGCTGCCGTGCTGCCAGCGTTATCAACCACGGCATACGTGGTCTCTGCGTCCTCTCGCGTACGACGTACTATCTCGCGTTCTCCCTCTCCTCGCAGCGCTGTGTCTCTCCGTCGTACTACGGCCGGCCTCCTAAGGGAAATTTAGTGTTTTCTATGGTGCTTTTTGCTTTTTCTCCTCACTAATGTTCCTCATTGCACCCCTTGCCTAATGTTTGAACAAAATAACGCATCAATTCAATCCCGACTCGTGCCTTTAACTCGGTTAAAGGAATCTTCCGCGGAAAGACTGGTCCTTTTCATCATGTGTATAGGTGGTGGGCATGGTCATTAAAGGCCATGTGCGAAGTTTGAAGCAAAAAGAATGAAATACCGGCAAGATACAGCTTTTGGGAATACTCAAGTTTTGGGACCAGACGGACCAGTGGGCGGGACCGGAAGTGCCGCTGTGACGACGGGAAGGGAACTACTAGGAACGACGCCAAGTAAAATTTTGGTTGACGTTACACCAAGAAACAACTGAAGAGTTCCCCATGGCGAACTTTTGTGAAGTTTTAATGGCGGGAATTTAAAATTTCCATGCATTAACTAGTTATTATGATTATTAACAAAACCAACGCTTATGTTCCGTTCTTTTTGCTATCCTCATGAAGCAAGGGGCCTAAGGTATCGTTTTTTTTTGTGGAATGAAGGCGATGTTTTTCCGTGGAAGATTCCTTTAACACGTTGACGACAGCGCAGGTTTTGGCTTTTTCCGCCGCATGGGACATGTCAGCTTGTCCCACGAGGTGCGTTTTTCGGAACTCAAAACTGAAAAGTGGCAAAACAAGGGTACAACGCTAATTGAGGGGAGAGGGCTTCCGGTGAAGACGCACGCTGCTTGTCTCTACCCTCTCAGCGAAATACTAGTGATGACATCAATGCAGAATAAGGAATCCATGAGTCTGGGGAGTATAGCCAGCTCGGGGATGGGGAGAGAGGAGGGTCGGGCGATTCGAATGACATGCGTGGAAAGCTGGAATGTGCATGTTCACACTATCTCTTCGGATAAACTCTGAGAAAGTGGTCAAATCCCTGCTGAACGTTGAGCGCGAATACTTCCCGAACCAGTTGCTTCATACGTGACAGATGTCAGAAGAAGTAAGTAAAGGTT